GAAAGTCTTGCAGAGTTTGGGACAGGTGTCCTGGTTCAGGGAGAAGTGACAACAGAGCAGTCCCGGTCATCTTGAGCTCGTCTGCTCTGGAGGAGAAAGGTCTTAATAATAATAAAGACGACGATAACAATAATAGCTAGTACCTATTAAATACCTGCAACCAGACAACGTGATATGAAACCGTCGTTTATTTCGTGTTCACATTACATGCCCACATAAAACAACGATCATGAAGCCTCATTATGTGGTGAGATAAGGAAGCGGGGGAAGGACAGAGCGATGCGAACCACCAACAAGGCTGGGACAGAGACAGTGCGGAGTGTGGCCACGCGCTTCCTCTCAACGGGCAGCGTGTTCCAGCATTTTTATACAAAGCTAGGACTCAGCAGTGGGACTAATCGTTGATATTCGGGCAGTAATAACTTCAAATGTGGCTTTCACTGCTGTCATATTAACTTTGGTCGGAAGATGGCGGCAAAGTTCAGCTAGTTCTTCAGGAGTCTCTTCTCAAGAGGTGAGGGAACGGTTGTCTTGACTACACCTGGGTTATTTTCTTTTTTAGTTTAGTTAGTTAGTTTGTTTGTTTGTTTTCCAAACCAAACTGTATCCAGCTTTATTAAAGATACTTTTCATGAACAATCATGGTATTTCAGACAGGACATGAGCAGATAATTGCTAACAGTATACAAAAACTTTCAAACTTCCTTCTTCAATGGATTACCAAAATCAGAAAGCCACTATAAAACCCAATGAAGTCTTCATTTGATGCTCTGAACAGGGAAAGTTTAGAGTGAGGGTTGGCATTTCACAACGTTTCACAAAGTCAATGTGGGCCAAGTTACCATATGAAATTTAATTTGTTCATTCCTTAATTTACAAATTTATTCACTAAATTCCCAAATGTCTGAGTACCTTTTAAGTACTAGCCTTGTTGAGAGCTAATGCTACTTGTCAGCAAAGACAGACACAGTTGCAGCTCTTCATGGAACATAAGGCCCAGTATAGAAAGAATATTACAAAGGTAAGCACAGAAATGAACTTAGAAGTTTTCATAAAATATAATTACCTGTTGTACTTCTGTATTATTTTTAAACTTTCCTATTACTTAAATAATAGAAAATACCCAAGTATTTGCTTTTCTGTCACTTAATTACTCACGTACATAGAATGGTGCCTGATGCAAAGCAGGTGCTTAGTAAAGTGATGCTGACTAAAGGAAGAAGTATAGTTGCAAACCTGAAATACATATATCCAGAACATGATTCTGTGTGAGTGTCTAACAAGGGCATGACTGAGGTCTGAGGAAATGCTGCTTGAGACGTGGTCTGAAGGACAAGTAAAAGGCAACGGTGTGTGTGTGTGTGTGTGTGTGTGTGTTGAGTGGTGTCTCTATATATCATGAAGCCATGTGTAAACTCTGCGAGGGTGGTGGTTGTGGGGGCGGGGATAGTCAGAAGGCGGTACCGGGAGCATGCTTTGCTGCAGGCTCCTAAAGACAGGTATGCTGCAGCACAGGGGGCTGGGGGAGGGAGCGTGATGCCCTGTGTAGTCAGATGAGTGTTTTGAAGAGATTTTACTGAAAGAATAAGAGAGGAACAAGAGTGGACTCAGGGAGAACAGGCAGGAAGCTATTCCAAGTCCAGACGAGAGGCAATAGTGGCTTACATTGGGGAGATGCTGATGGAATAGAGGGAAGGTGTCAGGGTCACTAGACAGGTGGACTTGGTGATGAAAAGTATGGAAGCACAGGAGAGGGAAGCCATCCAAGGATGGCTTGCAGACGTCTGACCAAGGGGATGAGTGGTAAGCAAGAGATTCTGGAGGAAAACCAGTTTGGGGAGGAGGGAAGATTCTAAGTTGTGCCTGCAGCCAGTCTAGTAGAAATATTAAATACATAGATTTAAGAGGTGCGAATGGATTTGCAAACCATTAGCATATAGACAACATTTTAAGGAGAAGGAGTGGGCAAGAACCCACTAAAGAAGAGAGTCTAGCAAAAGACATGGGGGCCTACGACTAGCTTTGAGGAACTCCCACCTTTAGCGGCTGGATGGAGAAGGATAGGCCTGTTAACAAGCCAGACATGGCCAGAGAACAAACGAGGAAAACCAGCAAAAAGTGTGTGAGCACAATGGCAGAGCTCTCTAGAAGCAGAAGGACCCTTCCTGTATTTTGAGAAGGATGGGTCAGCATCTCCATGCCCCAGAACAGTCCTTTCCTTTTGTCTGTTCATTCGTTCATTCCTTTATCCATTCAAGAGCAGCCCCTGCTGGGGCCGGCACAGAGGTGCAGTGGTCAAGGCTCAGGACACCCACATGGCTGACCATGGTTTGAGTCCTAGACCCAGTGGCTTGAAACTCACACTGGGCACATACTCAAAATCTCGGCAAGAGAATGGAGAACAGATTGCAGCACGGTCATCTCCCCTGAGGGGGAGGGTGAACTCTCACTTTCTCTCTCTGTCTTTCTTCAGTTCTCTGGTGAGTGCATGCACCCTACAGCAAAAATCTCTCCGAGAAGAGGAGAAGAGAAGAGGAGAAAAGAGAAGAGGAGAGGAGAGGAGAGGAGAGGAGAGGAGAGGAGAGGAGAGGAGAAGAGAAAAGAAGAGAAGAGAAGAGAAGAGAAGAGAAGAGAAGAGAAGAGAAGAGAAGAGAAGAGAAGAGAAGAGAAGAGAAGAGAAGAGAAGAGAAGAGAAGAGAAGAGAAGAGAAGAGAAGAGAAGAGAAGAGAAGAGAAGAGAAGAGAAGAGAAGAGAAGAGCCCCTGCTGACTCTAACACAATGTCCTTGAACCTAGTTTGAGTAGTCCCTAGGAAGATAGTATTTTTTGAGTTGCAAGAACTATAGGTCAGGACAAATGAAAGGCAGGGTAAATGGCATGCACAGCAACTCACGTTACTTAGTGAAAGAAATTAATGCAAAAACATATTTATGAACCGGAAGGGAAAGACCATTGAACTAAGAGGAAACCTGAGGTACAAAACAAGTTTTTCCGCTGGCCTGCTATGTCAGCTTGGGCAGTTCTCTGACTGTGTTTGATTGCATTAACTTTCAGGGCAGGGGATTGTGGTGGGTGGGTGGGGAAAGAAAAGGAGAACAATACTCTGCATTTCTAATGGGATTCTTGTGAAGATTTTGTGAGATCAAGTGTCTATCTAAAAGTTCTTTGGACTACATGTAGCATCAAATACTTTTCTATATGACATAAGGAGCTCTTTAGTTGGCTTATAAAAATAGAATGACACAATTAATAAATCTGGAGAGTTTCCTGGCATTTATTCCTAAAAAGTTGTGTGAATGCTTTTAATCTCTTTCTATCCTGCTGCCAGCACCCTATTCTTTTCTAACTAAAAATAAAAAGCAAAACAAACAAACAAAAAACTTTTGAAATCTCTTACTGATGCAAGGAAAAGGATAACTATGGAATTTTAACAAAATAGTCAGGACCACCCAAGCTAATGGATTCCAGACCTAACAGTGAAAACAAAAGGATTACCAGGAAATCCTCAACCCTGTTTTAAAGGCTGAGGGGAAGGGAGAGGCAACTCTACAGAGCAAGACCTGGCCTCTGTGGGGAAGCTTTTTGCTGAACTGTCTCCAGGAGGACCACCTAGTCTCTGGCTTTCTAAACAGTCCCCTTCTGATGGGTGATTATGGCACCAGTCCTGCCATGGCAAAAACCCTTCCTTATTTGCAGCATATTATCTCTACGGAAGTACCCATCAGCCAAAATAATCACTGCCATAGAACAGGAATCAGGCTCTAGTACCTTCCATCGTAAACCCTCATGTTTGAACAGCTCGGACAAGAACTCGGGCTTTCCTTAAATGAAATCTTCACTGGAGAGGTTAGACATCTCATTCATGTCCTCAAAGCTTGCCTTAAAAGTACTTCTAGTCCAGGGGGTAATGCCTCAGGAAGTAAATAAAGCTTTGGCCTTGGGGTTTTTTGAGGGACCTCTTTTCTAGGCCACATACCTTGTTTAATCCTAGCGATTGGGTATTCTTTTTCTTAAAGACCAGGTCCCTGAATCCTGCTGGGCCCTTCTCCAAACCAGCAAGACTTCCACTGAATGATCAAGGCAGTTGCTGGGATTGGGTTTGATGGTTTCTATCCTCTTTTCATGGGCTATCTCACTACAGATTTCTTTTTTTTTTTTTTTTAAATTTGCCATAGGGCACATGTACTCTCTGAAGAGAGACGAAAAGAGAGGGAGTAAGAAGGACAGTGAGAAAGCACCACCTGGGAGGATGGCCATGCCACAGTCTCTTCTCCTCCATTCTCTTCTGGGATTTTGGCCATTTACTCACATGCACCTGGTGTGTTTTTCAAACCTTCAGGTCCAGGACCTGAATTCCATAGTCAACCATGTGGGATCCACCTGCCTTAATCACCATGCCAAAAGCAGATCCTCATTTCAGATTTTTCAGGTAAATGTATATAACCTAGATCCACAAATTCTCTAGGATTCTGAGATCATTCTTCCTTTTAATTGAGAAAAGGAAACTAAGTCCCTTTTTCATATAAATATAGAGAATCCAGCATGGTTTCCCCACTTCTGCAGTTTCCTGGGAGCAGGGTAGAGAAGAAGGGGTGACCTCTCTGGCTGAATTCCTTCTCCTAGCCCCAGGACAGATCTTGGTCTGCCCACCTCAGCTGTGCCAGTGGCCTTCCCATCTCCTCACTACCCAAGTGACCATTGACATAAGACAGTTGCTTGGCGTGTATTTCTACTGAAAGGCTGAGGGGACTGAGGGAAATTATAGAGCAGCAGGAAAAAATTCAAAATCAAATATTGGACATGATTTTTCTTCAAGGCCATCCACTCTGTGGGAAGACTTGGCCCTGGAGCCCACTCTCCTGATGGCAATATCTCACTTCTCATTTTTCTAAATCCCCCAGGGAATCCAAACTTCGGGCCTCCAGAGAAGATGAGGGAAAACTCTCCCATCCCTTTCACTTGATACACAGATGGATTTCTCTCTCCTCCTTTTAATCCTCTCCCAGTTCCTGCCCAGGGAGTTTTGCCTCGCACTACCAGAGAGCCATTAAATACTGAATTTCATCATGACTCTTTCAGGCAAAAAAGGAGCATTGATCATTTTTCTCTCTTCTTTCAAATAGATAAAAAGGTCTTTTTCATCCTATTTGAAGTACATTATTAACAGGAGTCTAGTATTGAAGACCATATACATAGATCAAACTGTTTTTGATTTGTGTTTGTAATTCGGCAAACTGGCCTTCTGGGTTCTGGCAAATTAGTAAAGTCTTCCTAGACAGGACAATGTCTACGCACTGGGCTCCTTGTTCCTGTTCTTCCTTCCCACTCCCCACATCCACCTTTCCCTCCGAGGTGAATTTGGGATGTCTCAACGCAAAGCCAAGGCAAGTTGTTGGCAATTTTGAATCTATCTGGACGTTAGGCCTGTTGAAAAAAAAACCAAGCAACATTAATGTTTTATGGAAACTCATTCTTGATGTTTATTGAGAAAACTGTAGTCTCTAACCAGCATGGTC